GTTGGAGGATCACAATCAAGATAAATACAAGTAAATGTATGCATATAATTTTGAAATATTTAAAGCTAATTCATCCCATCATTTTTTTAATCAGATATGACGAAATTTCAAAGACTATAATAAGAAATTCATACCATAACTTTGCGGAAGTCTATGATTTAGGCACGGCATTGTTGAATTTTAGTCTTTTTGCGTATGGCAATTTGGTCAAGAAACTCACCGGGGAAAAACAAAAATTGCAGCCACTTTTTCATTTTGTTTAAAGATTTTGGTGGAAATCAGGGTAATGTCTATCTAGCTACTGACTTTGGAATGCGATATATAAATCTATTTGATTAGCTAAGTTCTACAAATCACATATCCTTTGTTAACACCTACATATTTTTGCATTTCGTTGGTTTTGTTTAAGTACTCTCTCCGGTCTTTAATACAAGCCATTTTGATTTATCTTAAGTTTCACTTTGTATATATTTTTAATTAACGAAAAAATTTTAAAAATATATTTTCGCATTCGTTCTGTTCTCTTAATTGTTAGGAAATATTTTTTAGGTTTTTTCGTCAATTAAAAATACGTATTAGGTACAACCTAGAACAAATCAAAATGGCTTATGTTGAGTACCAGAGGGAGTAATTGGATAAAACGACTTTGAGACAATTGTGTTGGATACAATCAGAAAAACACAATTGAATTCTAATCTCATAACTTTGTGTTTAATATGACATCAGAACGAATATTAACCTATGTGATTAGATTAGAGCATCCATGATCTAATTAAAAAGTTACGGTTTTAATGTACTAGTGTACAAGCGATTACAGTGAGTTCAAAATTAATTGCCCTTATTTATTTGGGTTCTCAGCGTTACAACAACGAAAAATATCAACGTTCAAAGGAAGCTTCATCAATTAGTGAACTTTAAAATGAGCTGGTAGCTACCGTTTGTTTGTCGCATTCTACAAAACTCTTGATTAGTTTAGTTCAAGTGTTCAACCAATAAAAAGCTTAATTAATAGTACTAACTCGTAGTTAACAGGAGGAAAAATGGGATTAAATAAAACAGGAACATTAAAGTTGTCTGAATAACTTAACGAGGGAGTACTAGATTAGTGTACAGTGTACACACACACACCTCGTAAATCACACATCGATTTGGACAGAAGCTCTCAGCCTGGAAGATTATCATAATAATACTCTTATGATATTGTTTAATTCTTTCTTAACCGGCCTGCCCAGTTCCAGTGGTATTCTTCCAAAATATCGTGTGTTAATTTTGGTGGATAGCTGTAGAGTTTTGCCAGAGCATAGTTTGTTTCTGAATCTCCTTTAATTGCAATCTCTTATACTACATTCGTCACAGAATAATAGTTCACATTAAGTTTTCAAATTTATACTAAACCTCGTTCAAATCTCAAAACTCAATGTGAGATTATTTTTTTTGGAACGGAGATAGTATTTTGTATATACTCCCTCCGTCCCATAATTATTGTCCAGTTTGGGCTTTTATTTCTAATTCAAATTATACTCAAAGTGAAATCTTAAACTAGATAATAATTTTAGGACAGAGGGAGTAATATTTTTGTCTCCAAGAAAAATAATTCACATATTCTATGACACGACGAGAATTATGCAAATGGAAATTTTACCAACTAATAAAAAATTCCATTATTTTGTTAATATGTGATATTGTAACACAATGTAACGAAATTCCGTATTTGAGAAAGTCTTACTATACAATACGATTTTACAACAAGAAGCTCCTAATAATATGTGGTTATGATACATGTATATCTAATTGAAGTCGGAACTATATATTGATCGGCGGTGCACCGAGCTTAATGAAAACCAAAGCTCAAGCATTGATCACTGAATTCAGGTGTGTTATTTCGTTAATAATTACGAAATCCAATTCTCTGCAAATAACAGCAAAGTCCAATTAAGGCAGTAGTACCGTATTAATGCCACTCGAGGGGGTGGAGTGGAGGGGAAGAAGAGAGATTCCCGGAGAACCAAGCGTGGGCTTACTAATCAAATCCCATTGTTTATTAGTAATTCAATTATTATTAGTTTATTGCTAATAATTAAATTAATCTCTTTCTCCCTTGAGATCTCTCGCCCCAATTAAACTTTTCTCTATGCTTTACGTGCTACACAGCTCATCACACTTGCGTACCTTAATTAAACTTCCACCCTTCCTCCCCCCCCGCCTGATAACGAAGAGAGTCATTAACAGCAAAAGTGGGTAGTAATAATCCTTTTTTTTTTGGTGTGTAGGTAATATTGCCGGTCTTACTACTTTGTTTTTGTTTTTGTTTTTTTAGAAAGTCAGCAATACTTCTAAAGTTCTAACTTCTAAGCACTAATATAATTGAAATGACATATAGTTTCAAATAAATTCTTCATTAAAAGAAGTCCTATTTCAAAAGTCAAAGTTATTCTTTACCTAAATTTTCTACATATCCTACAACAACAATACATGCATAAATGATGATTATTATTATTTCCTTTTTTTTTTTTCTCTTTTGTGTGTGTGTGTGTGTGTGTGGTGTGGTGATGGCTCCAATTATCCAAAACATTGTGTTGAGGTGGAGTGGAATGATGAAAGACTACATTATAGAAAAAAATTGTTCTTTTGAACACTGTAGAGTAGTAATTATTGTGAACGAGGAGGACGATGAGAGAGAGAGATGGGGGGGGAGGGGTAAAAACTGCAAAAGAGATGTCCAAGTGGATGGTCATGATTTATTAATGGACTAATAAACCACTTTATGATTGAAACTGGACCCTTCAAAACTCCCAAAAAAAAAATAAAAAAATACAAAAAAGCTTTTATAATTTACAGTACCATAGGAAGAGAGGTAGTAGCAGCTTTCGACATAAAAAGGACAGGTCCATGGACTCCATACTGAAGGACTGCCCCTCCTCCCATATTATCATGTCCCTTTCACCCTCTGACATTTCACTGTTCTCTCCTCTTCCTTTTTTTTTTTTTCTTTCTTCAACATATATTTTAATTAAAAATTTTATTGGGTAATCACTTATCAATCCACTTTTCTTCTGAGTCTTCATCAGCAGGCCCCAAAATCACACTGGCCCCTCAACCACTTATCTCCGCATTCTATAATTTCATTTCATCACCAATATGCATTAAGTACTCCAATATCTCGCAGTACATGTATATAATGATATTTGAATAATGATAATGATAATAGTCTAGTGATTTGAATTATTAAGCCAAAAATACGAATAGTTGAATCACAATTATCATCCATATAATAAGAATAATTGAAACCTTTGAAATGAGTGACTAAATTCATCTAATTTACACTACACATTAACACCGACTCTATAAATTAGCAAACGATGTGTACAGAAAAAATCACGACATGTGTTAAATGGACAATTATTAGTTGATGTCCTTACAATTTGGAGCTGATTAAGAGACCTCATTTTCTTGAGTTAGGAAACTATCAATTCAAAAGGTATAAATTTATCTAACTCAAAATAGAAAGTGAGTAGTGAAAAAAGCCATGTACACTTCCCCATATGTGTTTTTGTTTTTTACCATAATTACTAGTAGATGTTAAGCATACCAAATACTTCTCCAACTAGTTAAACTTTCTTTACCAAACCTTTTTTAAAACAAGGAAAGATGAAGATCTTTTCCTCTTTCTCTTTTTATTTAACCTTTCTTTTAAAAGAAATTTAATCCAAAATGTCAACAACAATTATTAACATTATTATATCTCCAAACACAAAAAAGCAACTCTCACTCACCCAAGGAAAGAAGGTGCCAGTCCAACTACATGGGTTTATGAATAACGCCAAAAAAGAGCTAAGAAAAAGAAAAGGAAAAAAAAGGGGCAATATTAGGAGAGATGATTGGACGGCCCTGATGACATTTGATTAAATATTTTAAAAACCCCAATCACCATCATATTATTCCTACATTAACCCTCTTTTTTTTGTTTTGATTTAAACTAATTTTGAATAATTTCCCCATTAATAAAAAAAGTTGTTTTCATATAGTAGTAGTAAGGAGTAGTACCTTCTTCTGTTCTGTGTGTGATTGTACTATCACAATTACGTGGTCGGTGGTCCCCCCCACACATCCCCCTCTTCCTTCTTCTCCTTCTCCTTCCTCTGAATCGGATCCACCAGATCCAGCCGTGCAACTGCTTTCATCAGATTCTCCCCCCTCTTCCAATCTAACAGTGAAATTTTATCACTTTCAGTTTCAGCCCTCAATATTTATGAATTGGTCAATTTTTCTTTCTTTGGTTACAAGGTCAATCTTTATTGTGTAATATTTGACATACAAACATTTTGGCTAGTACATAACTCATTGCTCGAGTAATATTTGCAATTATATATTTTCTCAAACAATAATAACAAAGTGAAATTGGTTTACATATATCTCCACTTTTGCAGCCAACTAAAATAAAACAATACCCAAAGTGAAAATAAACTTATAAGAATTAATCGGCATCTCGCTAGAGACTACACAAAACTATAAGAGTTATTTGTGAAGTGCGGTCTTAATAATAATAATGAGGGAAAAAAAGAAATTTATAGTCCCTCAATCTTTAATGTTTACATAGTAAAAAAAAAAAATTCCATGTTCATACATATTTGAAAGAGATGTGAAATAGTAAAATTTTTTGTTATTTTTTTTATTGCTAAAACAATGTCAATGAAACCGACCAAAGTTGTCCATTTTGAAGTGTGGAGCACTCAAACTATAAAAAACAAATGAATATTGAGGACCGAATTGTTTGAGAACTCAAAATAAAAGGGGTTTCCAATGGTTTCCCGTTTTTAACCCAAACTTTGTCGTCGTTTTCTCGTGATGACCGTCTCGGCCATTTCTCGACCCGCCCGCCCCACACCCGTTTTATGCGGTTGCGCCTCGTCGCGAACGGATAAGCCTACACCCATCGCACCGCACATCCATCGGCTACAATTCTCCCTCATCTACGTGTCAACTGCCCAGCCGTTGATGCATCTCAACCAACTTGACCCCAAATTTTTTTTTTCCTTTCAACCCTGGTTAAAAATCTGACCTTACCCCAAAGTTAACATAATAAAAACCTTATCTTCTCACCAGTATTAACTCTGCTTCTCTTCTTCTTTCTTACTCGACCGTCGCTCCACTGTTTTCTCAGACACTCTCAAACTTTCTCTCTCTTTCTCCATTTTCTTTCAATTTCTCTCTCTAGAAAAAAAACAACAAAAACAAATCGAACTTCTTTTTGCTTCTTCATTGATTCTGCCAAGTCACTGTAGCAAATCTCCCCAGCTATTACTGTTCGTTTAATGGTGCTTCAGATCTGAGGAGAACCACAGCTGAACTTGTTTGTGCCGGAGCTGGTCAAATTACGGTTTTGACCCAGCTTCTTCTTGTGCATTTTACTGTTCGGAAGTTTCGAGCTTTTTTTTTGGGTTAGCTTTCAATTTTTCAAAATAGGGAAGGTAGGGGAAAAAATGGCTTACTTGACGACGACGTCGTTTCCGGAGGAGGTACTGGAACACGTGTTCTCATTCCTGAGCACCGACAGGGACCGGAACGCGGTGTCGCTGGTGTGCAAGTCGTGGTACGAAATCGAGAGGTGGTGCCGGAGGAAAATATTCATCGGGAACTGCTACGCGGTGAGCCCCGGGATCTTGATCCGCCGGTTCCCGGAAGTGAGATCGGTGGAGCTGAAAGGGAAGCCGCATTTCGCCGACTTCAATTTGGTGCCGGAAGGTTGGGGTGGGTATGTTGACCCTTGGATTGTCGCCATGGCTGGGGCCTACCCTTGGCTTGAAGAAATCAGGCTCAAGCGAATGGTGGTCTCCGATGAGTCGTTGGAGTTGATCTCCAAGAGCTTCAAGAACTTCAAAGTCTTGGTTTTGTCGTCTTGTGAAGGGTTCAGCACCGACGGATTGGCTTCCATTGCTGCTAACTGCAGGTGTCTTTTTCTTCCTCCCATCTTCCTTGGTTGTTTTCAAATGGAGTAGATTCTTTCTTATGTTGTTTAGGAAAGTACAGTTCGCATCTTTCTTTTGATTTGGGTACCCTGTTATCTTGTGCAATGCTGGAGTAGTGGGAGTAGCAGTGATTGAAAGAGTTGGTGAAAAGGTCCGGTCAACTTTACGGTGGGTTTGGGTGAATAGTGAAAATCAATCTTTGTGTTTTAGATTTACATGACGGATAGGATGTAAACGATTTGATGTGGACGATTTTTCTTGTTTGTTGGTGATTTGTAGGCAAATCTAAGATTTCTTCCTCTTTTGATTACCTAGTGTCTTTTCGTTTTTTCTGAGTCTGAAGAATTCTGCTTCAGATCATGGAAGCAGGGTTATTGTATGACTGGATTATGTCATCCCTTGGATGTGCTTCTAACCTTGGCTTTGCGTGCCTTATTTTACCTTACTATTGTAGGACATTTTACTTGGAAGTTTTGCTTCACGATTTCTTGGGCAATTTCTGCATTTTGGGTGTACTGTTTAGCTTACACTTCCGGATTTTTAATCTCAGTTCTTTTGATTCATGGGAACTTTCCGTTTGGATTTTGGTCTGCATCTGATTCTCAAGTATGAAGAGGATTTGGATAGGCATGCTGTTGTAACTTTTGTTATTTAGTAGGGATGCGAATTTTTCTGTTGTGGTTGTCCTGTTTGCTGTTTTTAGGTGTTGTTATTGGAGACTGAACTAGACTCTATCATGCATGATTTTTTATGGATTTCTAAATTTGAAGGCAACCTTTTTATTTTATAATCTTTATTGGACTTGGTATAGGAATTTGAGGGAGCTAGACCTCCGTGAGAGTGACGTGGATGACCTGAGTGGGCATTGGCTGAGCCATTTTCCTGATTCATACACATCATTGGTGTCATTGAACATTGCTTGCTTAGGATCAGAGGTCAGTTATTCAGCATTGGAGCGTCTCGTTGCTCGATGTTCTAATCTCAAGACACTGCGTCTCAATCGCTCTGTGCCACTTGAGAAACTACCCTCACTATTACGTCGTGCCCCCCAGTTGGAGGAGTTTGGTACTGGTGCTTACTCCACTGAGATCAGACCTGATGTATTTTCTAGCTTGGCTGATGCCTTCTCCGCGTGCAAGAATCTCAAAGGCTTGTCTGGATTTTGGGATCTGGTTCCGGCTTATCTTCCTGCTATGTATTCAGTTTGCTCAAGGATAACTTCTCTGAACTTAAGCTATACCACTGTCCAAAGCCCTGATCTTATAAAGCTCATTAGCCAATGCCATAGTTTGCAGTGTCTGTGGGTAAGTCTTATTTCCTTTTAAGTGTACTCTCTAATTCATTTGTTTCCGTGTAGTTAACTTTTATGGGTTCTCTTTTTCTGGCTTGTGAGTTGACGGACAATGATCTGGAAGTTAACAGTTGAATGTGCTGTGTTAAGTTTTCCCTATTTGTATCGGGTATAAGTTTGGTTGGTTGAACCATTACCTTGGTCATTGTCTTTTCTAGTCTCTTACTGTGATCGTTGTTTCCTTGTCATTCTTGGAATCTGTCTAATTATTTAAAAATTTTCCCCTTTTCTAATCGATCCTCGAGCATGTGGCATCTTGTTGACTAAGCTCTTCTCGATTCAGGTCTTGGATTACATTGAAGATACTGGTCTTGAGGTGCTAGCCAGATCTTGTAAAGACTTAAAAGAGTTGAGGGTTTTTCCTTCTGATCCATACAATGCAGAAGAAAATGTGGCATTGACTGAAAGAGGCCTTGTCTCGGTCTCAGAAGGGTGTCCCAAGCTTCAATCAGTACTTTATTTCTGTCGGAGGATGTCAAATGCTGCCTTAATCTCGATTGCGAAGAACCGCCCTAACTTTATTTGTTTCAGATTATGCATAATTGAACCTAGAGCTCCTGATTATTTAACCTTTGAACCTCTTGATTCCGGTTTTGGGGCTATTGTAGAACACTGCAAGGAACTTCGTCGGCTTTCCCTATCTGGCCTCCTTACTGATCGCGTGTTTGAATACATTGGAACACATGCGAAGAAATTAGAAATGCTTTCTGTAGCCTTTGCTGGGGACAGTGATCTGGGCCTCCATCATGTGCTCTCTGGTTGTGATAGCCTCCGGAAGCTTGAAATCAGGGACTGTCCATTTGGGGACAAGGCTCTCTTGGCCAATGCTGCGAAACTGGAGACAATGCGATCCCTTTGGATGTCTTCTTGCTCGGTAAGTTTTGGAGCATGCAAGCTGTTAGGCCAACAGATGCCGAGGCTAAATGTGGAAGTAATAGATGAGAGGGGACCTCCCGATTCAAGGCCGGAGAACAGTCCTGTAGAGAAACTCTATGTTTACCGTACTGTGGCAGGGCCAAGGTTTGACATGCCCTCTTTCGTTTGGACAATGGATGAGGAAGCGGTGTTGAGGTTTTCTTGAGATTTAATTGTCAGTTTGGGGCCATTTTGTGATATATGAATGTTGCTTATCTGCTAAACAGGTAAACTCCCTGTGTGATGGAAAATCCATTGCTGTAAGATTCAATTCATGATGGTTTTTTGTAGTTTGCAGCGACCCGTGGGAGTTCCAGATACAAAGCAACGATTCAGAGCTGTTATAAGATAGCTCAGGAGCTGCTCTAATGCCATTAATTTTACTGATGGCTGAGCAAAATTTGTAGCATTTAGGTTCTTTTTTCATCAATAAGAAGTTGGGAAGTAGCCCTTATGTTATAATGTGTATCAGCCAAGCTATGTCAATGGTGGCTTGGTGTAATGAACATGTATACTATTTGTAGACTATTTGCAACTTAATCCTTGTGTTGTAGCATTGTAGTGTCCTTTAGAACTGTACCCTTTCTGTATCATTTTTGGCAATAAATTCATTTGACCATTTCCCTTGTCTATCCATTTATTCTGTAACTCGATTTGATTGATGGTTCCTGTTTTGATAAATAATTCAACCTTTTTGGGTGTAAAACTTGTATATTTTTTTATGATGATGGCCTGCAAGTTTGGCATCAGAATCCAAACCCTAAAGCCTAAAGAAGACACCAAGAAAAGAGGCGATTGTTACTGCTGGATTCTAGCATGCAGGGAGAAGAAAAATCATGGGAAAGGAACCATTAGTGGGTCGTACTTCATGAGTTTGGAGTTTGGACCTATTATTACTTTATTCTTCCTTCTCTTTTTTTAATGTTGAAAAAAAAGTGTGCAATAAAGAATCTGTGGCAGCAAGAGAGAGAGAGTGTTAAAGAAAAGGGTTATGGCTTCGACTGCAGTGCCCAAATTTTTGACAGATTCGGAGGGATTGGCACAGTGTTCACCAAACTGCTTTTTTACTAATGACCTTATTCACGCTAAATCACTTCCCCCACCACCATCTTTGTAACTCTCAAATATTTGAATGATGAGGGAAGACCATTTGGCATCACTTTCCTCTCTTGATTCAGTTGCTCCATTTCCATTTTACTCTAAATTCGTTAATTCCTCCCTATATAAATACTTTGGACTCTAATCTGAAAATCAATTGACAATGAGTGAATTGGTTTTTAAAACTTATATAAGATCGATGTTTCTTCATGCTAACGATATATGATAATTCTTAACACCTTAACACCCTCATACTGTGAATCGTAGTCTAAAAGGCACCAGAAGTTTGTAGTAGATATGTATAGAATTAAGTACAGTTTAGTGAAGCAAATACATAATTCACTGAAAAAAGAGGGGAATTTGCATTGATTGGGGGTTTGAAATGAGTGAATATCCTTGAGCATGAAGAAGACGAAGAAGAAGATACTGGAGAGAAGGACCAATTTGACAACGACCCATCGTATAGCAATATTCATCATGCAGAAACCAAAGGCTGAGTTGAATTAAAAAGCATGCCTTTGGGAGTCAGACAAGAGAGCGCCATGGAATGTTAAACAGTAGTAATGATTCTAATTCAAATTTCAGAACTGTTAGTATTTTGGCATGAATGAGCTAGCTCTGTCACACTGCATAGGGAAAAAAAGTGATGTAATAATAATAATGAATTGGCAAAGGAGAATTTTTTTTTTATTTTAAAATATAGTACTATATCTTTATGTATTTTGGGGGGTGATGAATGATGATGATGATTACTGATTCCTAACACAAAAACACGTTTCAACGTATTTATGAAACAAAATCTCATCATTATCATCGTCCTCTCCAATCATGATCTCATCTTCCCTCCCCCACCCCCCAAAAAAAAAAAAAAATTCTCAGTCCATTTCTCCCAGATTTCCAGCACGATTTTCTCATCTCTCTCCCCCTGCACTCTTTCCAGTCTTTTGAGCCTTTTGTTCAATTATTTACATTAGTCCCCTTCTTTTTTCATCCATTTTTTGTCTTACCACTTTATCACCTGTCTATCAACTGGTAAATTTATTTCGTTAGGAATTGAAAAAAAAATAGAAAAGTTTATGACTAAAATTGGCATATGGATCACGTTCCTTAAAATTAAATTTTGAGTGGGTTGATTTAAAGTGAAAGGTTTGAGTTCGACGAACACGTGATTAAATCAACATTCTCCAATATTATGCTAATATGGCAAACGGGAATTAGATTTGGATGGGATTCACTATTACACATACTAAGAGTCAAAAAGGATGTTCTTCCAAAAAATAACCATCAAAATTCCAATTCCATTTAAAAAGGGTGTTTGTTCTTACTAAGACCTTTCTGTCTTTAACTCTTAAGTTGAAAATTGAATTATTTACACGCATGGCACCGACTTAGGGGGCAAGAATCTTTAGTTTCAGATTCCTCTTTTTAGTACTTAGTAAATAGTAATGGACTAATGGTCTACAAGTGACAAGCTAAAGATATGTGCGCTTTCTCGCTTTTTCTTTATGCTTAGTTAGACTTATTAACTCCCTACTTTTTTTTTTTTTGTCGAAACGATGATAACCCTACTTCTTAGTTTCACGACTTAATTTAAAAGAGTTCAGTCTTCATAATTTTAACATAATAACTAGTATTAGTCTCTGTTGTTGAATTATACATACCTTGATGAGTAAGACAATTGACCAAAAGATTCAATGTTGCTGGGTTGCTCCATCCAAGACTAAATAGAAGGATTAAAAAAAAAATGATGTGATAGAGATTCTTTAGGGCAGATTTCATTGTAGTTTTCACTTCAACTTTTGGTCATAACATCTGGATTCCTCACCACCGCCATAACGGTGGAGATTTGTGGCGGCAGTTTATATACATCCATCAAACCGGCCTATGCACAGTAGGGGTGGTGGTGCTATGTGATAACCCTTTCTTTCCCTTTTCTTTTTCCAAATTGCTATTTCTGCTGTTTTTCCCTTTCCAATTGCAATGTGATAAATTTTTTTTTTTTTACCCCATTTGTGATCATTACTAAGGTTGTCATTTTGTGCCTGGATAATTTGTAATTGGCATCAATCATCTCATAAATTGGTAATCTTTTGACACAGATCCCTGCTCTGCAGCCAATGTCCAGTTAATAATCTTCTGGGTTTGATTTTGTTTTTGGGTTTGGTTTTTTGGCTGCAGGCTCATGTACTGCATTTAAATCAGTCATGACTTGGAGTACACTCCGGATCATTGGATGCATTCTGTATTTAATTGGGCAAACAACCCAAGTTCAATTTCAACCCACCTGAACCGTCAATTTCATGCCCTCAAAAAAACTCTATTCTTTCTAGGATTCGTACTTTGCACTATCATTTGCTTACATGACTTTCTCTTTGATTTTCTTTTTTCTCTCATTTTGATGCAAAAAAAAAAAAAAAAGAAGCAAATAGTAGTGGTACGTAGGATAGGGGTACCTGGGTTATGGTAATTACTTATTACTTGTACCATCTTTATCTGGATTTGGACCTGCGTTTAATATGGAGAATCATATCATCTAATTGTTGAATCTCAAACCATAGATGATATTCATATTTTGTAACACAAGCAGAAAAAATCGCATTGAATACCAAATCAAACACAAGTAGTTTGATATTAGAAATTTTATTTGGATCGACCTTATTTTAAATCGTCATGACTAGTATCTTATCGAAACTTTGTAACATTCCTCAGAAATGCCTGAGATTTCTAGTAGTCTCATTCCCTTTCGCATGGATCCGAACATGAAATAAGATACCAGTTATTTTAAAAATTCTATCACAGATAGATATCTGTATTAGAGTTCCTTCCACAAAAAAAAAAAAAGAAAAAGAAAAAAAAAGGATGGAATGAGCAAAGCTGAGAAAGAGGTGGATTTACTGAGGAAAGGTCATGATAAAAAGGATAGGGGGTGGTTTTTCAGGGATTCTGATTGGACAGGACAACACTGATTTTACTTTCTTTTCCTTTTTTTTTTTTCCCCTTTTCTTAATGATCAGTAGAAGCAGTGTCTCTGTCAAAAATAGAGTCAATGAATGAGATGGAACATATTAGGACATTGATTTTTGCAGGAGGCATTGAAGAATGAATGAATCAATTAAAGATAGTGGGGGGACTTAATTAATTTTACCTGGACAGAGAGTTTGGGGATATTAATGAAACCTCAAATGCTTGTCTCGTTTCTTGCCTTTGGGCAGGGAAATCTGGCTCTATAATGTACGGACTTATTGACTTGAGGGAGAGATTTCCGCATCATCTAACTTCTGGGCCTTGAGCTCTAGCAATTGATAACGGATGAAATTTGTTTCAGAAGTTTTTGATGGAGGTTACGGCCCATTGACCACTGAACTACAATAGACTATTCCTAAGCAGGCTTCTTTTGGATCAGACGCAAGCCCAAGTTATGTAATAAGCTCCTGAGAAAAAGCAAAACGAGCTTGTAACAACAAATCACTTCTCTGACCACACACACAAAGGCACAAAGGGGTCCCAAGTTTGTATCAAATTGTTAGACAAGTCAAGGTTGTAGCTATAACATAAATTTAAAAGCCCTTTCCAGCTCTGATCCAGTTTCATGCTGTTGTGCTCCTCTACTAGCATTTTCTCTTACCAGCTTGATCCTCTGAAACTCCTGCCCACCACCATCCACGCTTCCTTCCTCTCCCTTTTGAATTGCCACTCGTTCCTTGCTTTCCACAATGGCCATATTATATGAGCCGAAGCCTCCACTCTTTCTTGGAATTCTTTCCTGCTGGTTGCCTTTATCAGACAGCTCCAATTGTAAAGCTACCCATTAGATGTTGCAATCCATCCCATCTCACAGTTGCTAACTGCCACAAAGCTAAAGCTACAATGAAAGAGGACATGTTCCAAAGACAAAAACTCGATACCACAGGTTTTGCAAATCCTGTCTACCTCAAGTCCTCAACTGGAACCCAACCTTTGAATAACCTCCAAACAAAATGTTCTACCTTAGCTTTTATTTTCAAAGAAAACACCATTATCACCTTATCAGAATGTCAAGAAAACAACAGTACTTTTAATCCAGTAGTCCCATTACAAAAAAAAGCCCAAAATAAGGACAAAATTACTCATTCGACGACAAGGAGAATTTACTACAAGTGAGATATTTAACAAGGTCAATATACAACAATGTATACAACAAAACCTATCCCGATGAACCTTGAAGCGTTTCAAGGATATGTTCGATTCTATATTTCATCACAGGTTGTCCGGACTTTGTTTTCTTGAACATCTTCTCCTTCAAAGATTTCCTTCGGGCTTCTGATCTTTGCTTTTCATCCTGCTTTGCTAGAACAGAAGCTTCCCTTTCTATCCTGGCTCTCTCTTGCTCTTCCCGCTGCTTGTTAGCTATCTCTTCAAGAACCTGTGCTTCACTCTTTTTCTCTTTCTTTCGGTCCCGCTTCCCATCGGCAACTTCTCCACTCTCATTTCTCAGCTACAACAATAGCATAATTTAGTACGTGAAAATGGACTATCTACAACAATAGCATAATTTAGTGCGTGCTCCCTTGCTCTTATTTTTGTCCATCCCAATAAAATCCCCGTCACTTTGATCCATAACGAAACACTAGTTTATGGCAACTTTCTAAAATTTCTTCTTCGATTCTCCCTACACAAGTACTAATCCATTCATTCCAATCTTTATCTAATTCCGCAGACTTTCAGGAGGACAGATCCTAAATATCAAATAGCTTTTTGTGTGAACCTAATTCATACATTGGCATCTAGACATTAGATCTCATCAATGAAAACAATCTTTTCGGAAAAAAAAATCCTGCATGTGCTAACACTCCTATCCATGACAGCAGCCAAGAAGACTGTATGTCCACAAGGCATCATCAATGTGGACAGAACTACCAGTAGTAGGCAGAGTTGATAAAAAAAACAAGGGGATACTTCATATACTTTGGACATCCCCAAAATATTAACGAACACCAAAGACAATAGAAAAAACTAGAAAAACTAGAATTAACTAACTGAGCTAGCTAAATAAGTGAGTGGACCACGCAAAATTCAAACCTCAAAGGGTCTCGGTCTCCTGGTTGTTGGGACTTCATTCTGCTGCTTTTCTTGTTTTAATAAGCTCTTGTACTTTTTCACATACTTAGCATTCTTATAAAATTCCTTCTGCTTCTCTGCAAAGACCAACAAAAAAGAAAAAAAAACAGAAATTAATCAGCTCAAAAGGGAAAAAGGGGGGCTACAAATCGGGCAGCATAAACAATATCTAACAGGCCAAGAACTTTAAAAATACCATCATTTGTAGTACTAAACATGAGTTTTAATCCGAGTGATGATAATACTCACGGTTATAGATTCATAACTAGAGTACTTTTCATGGCAACTCACATCTCATTACAACAGAAATGACCACAGAAACAGCTATATATATCTCTATCAATGCGAATACTGTTACTCTTTTATAACACTTCTGTAACAGCAAACACAGAAAAAAGAAAGAAGAATGAAAACAAGCACAAACAAGGAGGGACAAAAGGACCTACTGATAATGGCGGGATTATAAGCATTTGGGTTATGTGATTTAGCATTGGCGAATGCCTCAAGAGAAAGCCCTCTCCCGCCCAATCTCTGCATATTCTTCTTCGTCTTCGAATTTTGGCCGTTAAATCTTTTCCGGCCTCCATCGTCCCCAGTTTTTTCCTTCATCGATGTAAAGCTCAACGGAATCCTCAATTTTTTACAGAAGTGTGGGCAGTGGATCAATTAGGGGAGTTTTGCAATTCAGCTAATTCTCCAAACCCTAATTCCTATGTTCTTTTCGGGGGGTGAATTTGGGGAAGAAGAGCTCGATTTCCTGCTGCGGGATGTAGAAATTATGGATTGTTCATCGGCCCAAGCCCACTACTAAGTTGTGCCCTATCTGTAAAAGTTGGATTTGAATCTCAGTTATATAATCTAGTTGGTCCAAGCCCAAAACCTCGAATAAATAATGTACTGTATATTGCTTTGTTGCAATAGTTTTCTTAGTGGCAATGATATTCATATTATTAATGAGAAAATATTTATAGGGAAAACTTAGGCTTTGTTTGTTTCATTTTTTTATGGTATTTTTAAATTAAAATATTAATAACCGTCCCATCCCAACATATTTTTTATATTTTCAATACCCCTTTTCATATTCTCAATAAAAAAAATACCTAAAAACACACATTAAAAAAACAAAATAAACATACCTTTAATTCCAAGAAATGATGTGGATATCGGTGAAAATTTTATAATTACTTGGTCCCAAGATAATACTTGTGTGAAAAATATCCTAAAAATGAATCTTGAGGGTTCTAAATTCCAAATGTCAAACGGTAGAAAACTTCGCCAAAGGCGACAATCATTTTATGACTGTTTAGTTATTAACCAACAAAATTTTTCCCCTAGTGTACATCTCCCTAATTAAACAGCGCACTTGCAGAGCTTTTAGTTTCGTTCATTTAACCAATTCATGTCGTTGAAACAATTATACGAGTTAGCTAATATCATGGAGACCATACTATAATTTTGAGCAATGATTCATATTGCAATAAACATGTTGGATGAATTCTTTCCTATAATTTATGTGGCATTCATATTAGGGGAAATTTTTATTTTTTTTTAAAAAATTTTATTGGTAGAACACCATTCTATTGGTACTTCAAAAAATAAAAGGAAGAAGTAATGTTCTGTCAAAATTCATTTGAAGCTTAATTTCATGACTTTGTCGACATGCAAGAGTAAAAATTGTGACCTCAAATTCATGACTTTGTCAACATGCAAAAATTCGGTCTTAAACAAGTTTTAATCAATTGTAAGCACTGTAACGTTACCCACGTAAGTGGTTAGTGATTTAGAATATTTAAAATATAGCATTTAATAAATACAAAAAGGGAGATTGGTAACTTTTATGTAAAAATGTGATAGAATGAAAGAATACTCACTCTACATTATATCTTCCTAAAAAATAATTACATCAAACACATAATTATTTTTGGACGAAGAAAACAGAGGAAGTATCACGCAACAATCATATATGGCAAATTGGCAATACATGGAACAATAATTATGCAACTTTTCATCCTATATATATGATATCAAAAATAAAATAAGTGGAAGGAAATTGATGTTTCATTTTGCAATAAATAGAAAAAAGAAAGACATCTACATTAATTTATATAATATATAGTGATGATGATTACGACATAAGATGATATATGAGAAACCGAAAATGAAATACAATAATTGCAGTGTACGATATATCAGCCTCAATACTTATACCACAAAAACTAAACTAAAATTCCCAATTATATGCAGCTTAGCTACATCTTTTCAATTCAGACATTAAATTACCTAATTAAATTAAGAGTAAGTTATTTTCTTATTGCACGTAACTCCCGATGTTGGAACCCGAAACCTATGCTTCGAATGGGACTGATTTCCTTAAACAACAATAATAATATTGTTCGTAACTGATGATCATCGTGCACGTAAGAAGCATGGCTTCATTCTGAAACTTTCATTTTTACGTTCCATCATTTTCTCCATCACTTTTTATTCCCCTTTTCTCCATCTTTTTGTGTAATTACACGTTGGATTCGGTTGGTTGAATGGGTTTTCCACATGAATCGCAACCCTTTTGGACGTCGTCGGCCGGTTGCGTGCTCAATACTCCACCGATTTCAACAACTTTGACGGTTATGATTTCTTTCAGGTCTGCTTCTGGAAGAACTTGCCGCTCACCTCTCTTGTAGATGCAAAATAGGACCATCTGGGCTATTCCAAATACGAATCCTAGTATATTTGGCGTCTACATTAACCAAATCCAGAAAAAAACAAAAAATCATCAGTCCCATTTGTAAAATTATTACTATCGCGATTCCATATAGTGATTGAATCGGGTCTACATTTAATTACTATACGTAAAGTAACGAAAATTTGAATTTTGTTACGTAAACGGAGTTAAATATTACTTACAGCAACGTAATAATCCTTGATGAGAAAGCCGTAGAAGAACCATACCACGGCGCAAAGGGTAAGGAAGAATGATAACGAGAAAGGCATGAACTCCACGCTTTTTGTTTTGATCACTTTAACCTGTAACATATAATTAAGCCATTTATATTAATAATTGAATTATCAATTTGATATATTCAGTTGTTGTCAAGTTAATGATGATAGATATGTGTAAATGGTCTTTAATTTACCATAATGCTAAGAGGAGCGGCAAAAACACAAACAGAGAAAACCGAGCAAATCCAACCAACTACGGCGACTCGGTTACTGCCGTGAGAAAATGCGTATGTTGAAGCCACTATCACACCATAAACTATAAAGTTAAACCCAATCAACAGCTTTGTGGTGAACCTCTGCAAAAGAAAAAACTATTTCAGGTAAAATAGATAATCTATATATATATATATATATATATGTAGATTAACGAAAAGAAAGAGAGATGTTATCGTTTCTATCAAGCACCGGAATAGTTCGTAGTGTCTTATGTCTCTATCTCATACCGGAAGCCATTTTTAAATGAAAATAGGAATAAATTTTTTTTACTAGGATTGTTTTTTATGTTAGGGTTGAAAGGGAAGGTTTCAATCAAGTGATAAAGGAACGAGAATAATAATATTGAAATCTTCAGTTCAAACATCAACATCTAACTAGAGTAATAGAGTGATTTTTTTTTTTTTTTTAAAGTTACCTTAGCGTCTCTGGTTGCATAAATCATGAAAATCAAAAGGTACATAGATTGAATGGCGCATCCAATGCTGTTGATGGTCACTAAGATGATCATGTGCTTCTTGATGTATGCGTAGTAAAGATACAACATCGCACTGAATAGCGACACCGAATAAGGGATTGATTGAAATCCTTGGGTCGATTTCAGCTTGTAAATCCTAAAAAATGTCGGCCTGTATATATATTTACATATCACCAAAAAAAGCAAAAGTTTAACCGCATTACTCTAAGCCACAAGCATTTGATTATTACTATTATTACATGACTTATGTATAGTTCGATTAATTGAAAAAAAAAAAAAATAACAATTGAAACAGTACTTACAGAGGTGCCAAGTACACCATAAACGACACTATATTGCCTGGAAGAAAAAAAAATACAAACGCAAAGAAAAGGGGAATTAAAACAGCTGAAAATTAACTAAGAAGATGAAATGAACGAAGGAAATACAGCTAGAAAAAGGGTGTTTAAAATTAGGAAGTACCAAGAATTCCGAAGACATTAGCCATAACATCAGGAGAGAAATGGAGGGCCATTTTTCTTTTCTTTTGTTTCTCAAGCTCAGATTCTTGGCTTTTGGGGGGGAGTTCTTTGGGACGAAGTGGAGAAAATGGCCACCAAGTTCCAAACTTGGAAGAACTTCGATTTCTGATTGTACTCGTTTATTTCATGACTTGGGAATGCATAGATGACCACCTATTTATACATATTCACACATGTGGTATGAGGGAACAAATTAATCATTTAAAAATAAAGTTGGAATTGAGTCTAATCAAAAGATCATTCTCGTGTCATATATAGCAATTTTTTTAATTTTTAAAATACATATTCAATTATTACATGATAGAGTGGCGCCCTACCATGAATGAAGTAACGAATTGGAGAACGCTACTTGGATATGTTTTTGTAAGGATCGATCTGACAAATTTTTACTCCCTCCGTCCCATAATTATTGTCCAGTTTGAATTTTTATTTGTAGTTCAAATTGTACTAAAAGTGAAATCTCAAACAGGAGAATCATTTTAGGACAAAGGGAGTACAAGTTTTGCTTATATATCATCTGGTACAATTAGGATCTAGCAGAATTTATGAATTTATTCATAATGTGATCAGTTACTGTAAGAATTTGATAGATTTTACAAGTTTTGCTGGTGAAATGATAGATTACTGTAAGGATATGATGCTTTTCGAACAACAAAATCTACAAATTCCGTTGATGGTACGTTTCAAATATAACCGTTACAATGAAATGGTACTCCAGGAGGAGGTAAGGTTGACAAGGCTCAAGGGGTGAGAAAGTGTAAAAGTTTTTGTCATTTCTTTATTTCCATTGTTATGTTAGTTTGAAGTAGTAATATGGTTAAAAAGCAATTTTCAAAGGAATGGCATTCTTCTGTTAAGGGTACTTTTTATCTCTAAATCGCTTTAATATGGATTTTCCAGGAATCACTGATTATCCCATGCTATTTTTGTCCCTCGAGGAACCCTTTTATCCCAATTGTATTTTGGAAGGATATATGCACCTATACGAGCTACAATTTGAGAAAATAAATGCATTCCATGCACAGGGTTGATTTTACTAATTGTAACAATTGATTGAAAGTGATGATAACTTCCCAATTAATACTCTTTAACAAGATATAAGAAATTAAAACAAAATATACTAGGAGCTTTGTTTTCATATTAAAATTCCGTAGTCATCATGTCGTACGAACTTCCTATTAATTGTTATCTAATCATGAAAATGGTATTCGACTTCAAGAAGGAAAAGAGCATTAAATTTCATTCTCTTTAATGGTTCATTTCTCTGGAAAATCCCACTGTTCACGACGTGTAAGAAACTGCTAGCTTGATACCTTTCATTCTTTTTGTTGGTAGTTGAGCATTATGACCAAGATTGATCAATTGGTCAAGATGTAGTGCTTTTCTCACAATTTATTTTTTTTAATCTTAGTCCATATTTACATTTTATTTCTGTCAAGAAAATCTTATTTCAACAAAGTATAATGACGGTATTCGTAAATTTTCACACATTAGAAAATGAAATATCTAGTACTTTTTTCGTCTCAAAATAAATGCTTACAGTACTATTTTCTTGAAACTAGAAATGTTCACAAACGTAACTTATTGGAAGGGAGGATTTCATCCTTCAACTTTAAAATGCAAGCAAATTGTATTTGCTACTTACACCACTTCATGGACGACCATAGAATTTGGGAAACTAGCTGCATATCCCCTTAAGCCAATTTCAGTTGCATAAAACAAATTGAACGAGAAGCTGTTTTGTTTTTTCATATATTTGGATTTGTTAATTAAAAGCTTTTTGTGTGGATAAAAAGGAGAATGGAAATTGATGTGTAAAAATGGCTTTTTAGAGGGATGGAGATAAATGGGAGTGGTTTTGCGCTTTTAGCACAAAAAGCACGTGAGATTTTCTACCATCCGTTACGCTTTCTCTGTTTAAAACGGACTTGACTACACGCGTCCGACACGCCTGATGAGCTGCTGCCTCTCATTAATTCCTTCGACATGTTTTTTCTTTGTTTAATTTCTCTTCTAATTTGAGAGTTCCATACTCTTCTTTTCCTTCTACACAATAATTGTATGATTTGCGAAGATGTACAGTAATAAGTAAATAAAATAAAATTACCGTAAACTAGGTGAATGTCCGATTAAAAATCATGATAGAGATGTGAGTGTAAATTCATCACAAGTGAAATGATTCCGAAAATGTTGAAACGAAAATTGATGGGAAAAAATAAATAAATAAATAAATAACTAGTTACGTTGCTTTAACCATGAAAATGACAAATTTTCGGTGCTCGTTAATTTTCGAACTAGTTCTTCTAGATACTATTGCTTCTTGTTCATAACACATTAATCATTTCCAATTTCAAAAACTAATTTCTCTATTCTAAAATACGCCTTCAACAAATTTTATACAGTTTCAAAAGCACTTTATTAGGGTTTTTGACATTACTACATATCATTAACCTATCCTGTCCCCAAAAAAATATAAAAAAAAATTCTAAATGTCATCGATGCTTTTTTCTTTTGATGGGAATTTTGCAAACTTAAAAAAAATAAATAAAAGAATAAAATAAAACTGAAACAATATTAGAAAAAGGCAGTAAATTTTTTTTTTTCCAAATTCCCTTCAGTGTCACTTGCTTCAAAATGGAGGGAGTACTATTTCTCTTTATATTAAATATTAAATGGTGATATTAATATGGAAAATTAAGGAAATTGAGAATTTATTTCAACATAAAGAAAGTTTAGAGATTTTTTTTTGGGGGAACAGTGGCAATATACCAGCTTATGAAGGAATGATTAATCAATCATCACCATATAATACGTGGGCTTTCTTCTATTACCGAAATTGTTTGTTCTTGGGAGGTGGCAGCAATACAGTCGCAATCTCTCTTCCCCCAAACTAAGTGAACAAAATCAGGCGATAAAGCAAAAGTAATAGAAAAATTGAGTGCAAACACACAAATTATAACTATGGTCATTAGATCATCAAGTAAACTTTCTTTTCTTTTCTTTTTTTTTTTTATTATTTGAACTTTTTTCTTTCTCACTTGCAAGTCCAACGAAAAGCGTAGCTATTATCTGCGAAATACTCCCTCCGTCCCACAAAAATAAACCACATTAAGTTTTAAGTTTTGTACTAAAAACTCAAAACTCAATAAAATTCAAAGTTCAATGTGGACTATTTTTGTGGGACAGATGGTGTAATATTTTAGCCATCTTTGAGTCTTTGACCATGTTTTGTTCTCTTTTCAATCTGTCGTATAACAATAGTCTAATCACGAAAATCCAGCTTCTCATGAGTTTATATGTACAATCACAAAGGCACAAACTATTTGTTACTCTTTTTTTTTTTTTTTTGTGCCCACTAAAATCTTATTTTTATGATGAACTATGCACGTATTCCCCCTCCTAATTACAGGGGAATGGCAAGATATTTTTTGAAAATAAATTCAAATGCTTTCCATATATAACATAATTAGGTGGCTTTGAAGCTAATTTCCAACAGGGGACGAACGTAAGATCTGCTGGAGATATTCGCTAATTATAATTATTGAAGAATAATCATGGATGGATTGATGAGAATGAAAGCATTAGGACAAATGTTTGACCACTTTCAACACGTCTACCAGTTATATTTCAAATCTTGCGGCATTTAGAAATGTAGTGTTTCAATCGTTGGGGAATGCCATGCATGCATGCAGGCGAAACCTGAAACATAAATCCCCCAAGTTTCCAATCAAATAGTAAATCGCCCAACACGTCCCTCAATTTTGATTACAAATTCATGTTAATCACTCACTGCGAAAAAAAGTTTCAACATCGTTCTCAAACTTGTTGTATCATCTCCGTTCAGCTGTCAAGAAATTTTGTCAGAAATGGAGCTCATCACCCCTAAAAACTAAAAAGTTATACATCATTTATTTTACAAGTAATTAATATTCAGGACAACCTGCTTGTAAATAAATTGGTAAATTTTTTAATTCGCAGTGATGGATAGGAAATCACGAGGTTTACACCATTGGCGTCAATTCGACAAATTAATCCCAACTTTGGAGTAAATAGAATGGCATATGACACAAATCAAATAATATCAACCCGAGAGACGAAAGCATGCATATTTTTGAAGTTAGAGGACCAATTGAGGGATTTTACCAAACAAATTAAGAACAACGCATGTGCGGGCTTTGAATACAATATTACATTTGTATGACCTGACCATGAGAATAATCACAAGTGTTCCACCTGACATTCACTAATACTTTTTATGTTTTTTTTTTTTTTTTCAATACGTGTACATATTTTGTGTTCGTTTGTGTCTCAGGATTGAAAATCACGGAGTTTCCCTTTGAATTTGGCCCACCCTTAAAATCATGCAATGTGGGATAAGAAAATACGTAAAAGTTGATGGTTCACCTCATACGATAGAAATCAATTCGATTTTTGGATTGATTCAAATCCAAACCTCAAACCCAACCTAATTTAATTTTCCAATAATTTTGATACTTATAAATCATGAGCCAATAAATTCAATAATTATATTGGCATATGTTCATATCCCCAAAAACTGTGGACGAGAATGATCTGAGATTTCCAGAATTTTCCCCAATAATTTGTGGTACGGAAATGCTATTAGTAATTTGCGTACCACTAAAATAATTTTCGATTTTTAGGAACCATATCAATGTGCCCATGCCCGTATTGGAAAACCAAATTGAGGAGTTTGACCTTGAAATAGAATTTAATTCTACATGCCAACTATTACTTCTTATCTTACTATTTGAGGTAATCATAAAACCTTGTCAACTATTACTTCTATTATGTAATTAGTTTTTCGTTTCCAATTTGAAAGTGATCTTTTTTAGTTCATGATGATCAGTTATTAGTTCTTCAAATTAAAAATTAATAGTTATATACTTTTCTTTCATCCGTTTCAAAATTATTATCATGTTTTGTTGTAGACTTCCACAGTCACACGTATAATTAAGGAGGAAGAAAGGAGTAATATATATGCGTGTCGACGTAATGTTGATATGGAAGAATCATTAACTGATGTAGACTTTAGTAGTAACTAGTAAGTGATTTGTAGAGACGATGGCTTGAAACTTTGAACAACATGAATCGGAGATCATCTAGGCCTTACATTAATTGACAGCTAAAAGCCTAAAATAAAGAAAGTAGGTATTCAAAAATTGCTTTTATGATGTCA